AGTATAGTATAGTATAGTATAGTATAGTATAGTATAGTATAGTATAGTATAGTATACGTTGTAGTGGAGGCCTTGGTGATTTCACAGATGTTATTCTCAGACTCATTGTGTATACAGTGAAGAAGCACAGTGTTTATTTTGTTTTCAGTCATGGATTAAAGTAGAATATAGAAGTAGGAGAGTTGAATATGAAGGGATAATGTAGCCCACCCTCCATTTTCCTGATGACATGCTGTTCAAGATACAGAGAGAGATGTGAATGTGTATTTTACATATCAATACCCTAGGAGCCTTAATCTTTCACTCAAGTTCGGCATCATTTTGTATTCATGTATGACTCTTATTCGTTTTATTGTAGTTTTTCTTTATTTATATTTAAGTTTTGCATGTTTATAAATTGTATGATAAGCATATTCATCAGACCAAATTCTGGCTCTATAGACATCCATATTGGTGATTTTTCCAAAAGCAATTACATGAAATATTTCAATAGCATGTTCACAGAGCCTAACAACTTCAGACTAGGGTAACTTGCAATTGCCAGCCTTCACTGACTAGTTCTTCATTCAGCAAGAGGATCATTAAGATTAATAAACAGAGGAATCAACTTACTGTATTCAAACTTTTAGTGAGAACAGCATAGGGAAAGCAGCTGGATGCAGCCCACTAGAGACTTTTTGCCTGCCACTAGTCTAAGAGCCAAGAGTCAGTCTCCTCTCAGAGACCCCTGCTTACAAGCAAAATTGTTCCCCATCATTTACATTATATGCTGTCAAATGATCCCAAGCACTCTAACATTTGGATCTGGAAACAACCTAGATATCCCTCAATGGAGAAATGGATACAGAAATTGTGGTATATCTACAAAACAGAATACTACTCAGCTATTAAAAACAAGGAAATCATAAAATTTGCAGACAAGTGGATGGAACAGCGGGTGAGGTAGTGAGGTAACCCAGAAACAGAAAGACAGGTATGGTATTCATATTATTCACTAATAAGCGGATATTAGCCATATAATATAGATAGCCATCTACAGACCTAAAGAAGCTAAACACTGAAGAGGACCCTAGGGAGGATGCTTAAATCTCATTCAAAATGGCAAACAGGATAGATACCAGAAGTTGTGGAAGAGAGAAACAGGACGGGAGTCTACTGTAGAGGGTCCTCTGAAAGGATCTTATTCTTTTAACTTTGAACTTTGTGCTCTATCAGAAAGTAAAATACAAATTATCACTTAGAACATTAAAACTGGGTTTTAATGTTCACTGGGTTTCATCTGGATTCATCACTCTTGGATAGAGAAAGTACATATAGGACACATGTCCTTTGTGTCTAGTGCTGTCCCGGTATCAGCACTGATGCCTCTCTAATCACCCAAACCAGAACCACTGTGGTAAGCACGTTGCAAAATTAGATTCACACTTTTATCTGTGCAGTTCACCTTGAATGCCCTATAGCATCTGAGTACTGCCAGAGAGGAATGTATTACAATCACTCACATTTCTCTTTTTTAACAGCAATGAACCTTTTATCAGTGGAATGTTTGGCCTCACTTTGGCTACCCACAGTAAATCAAAAGATCTTACTAAATTTTATTTCAAACCTTTATTTTTCCAGAGAAACATTTACTGCCTGTTTTCATAGTTAATAGTCTCACTCTACTTCTTTCTTTTATGTATTTACCAGAAAGTTAAGAAACAAAAGGAGCATGTAGTTGGAGCTAAAAATTACAACTCCCCAGTGCTCTGAATGCAGCTGTTAATTAACTTTCCAACACTTGATTTTGTGGAGGAGAGAGGATTACAACTATATCAGCTCTAGTGTTTCATACTAAGTACACATAATGAGTTCCCCAAGCACCCCGTGCTCATAACATGGCTTACACCGTAGTGATGTAACTCAAAGCTTTCACACATTTGCCTTCAGTCAGTCCTCCAGATATAAGGGTTTCATATCTGCATATTTAATCAACCACAAGTCAGAAGTATATGAAGAAATGTTATGTTCATTCTGTACATGTATATTTTTTCTTCATATTATTTCATAAACAATATAGTATTAACAGACATTTGTATAATTCTTATATTGCTTTAGAATCATGAATAATCTAGAGCTGTTTTAATATGTATAGAAAGATATTTGTAGGTATTTACTGTGTAACTTGATATAAAGAACTTGAACATCTGAAGATTTGGCTACCTATAAAGAGTTCTGGACCCCAAAGATGTTTATGTTCAGTTACTGTACTGGCTAGTTTCCATCAGCTTGACACAAGCTAGAATCTTCAGAAGGAGCTTCAACTGAGAAAATGCCTCTATGAGATCTGGCTGTAGGCAAGCTTTTCTTAATTAGTGATGTAGGGGGGGAGGGACCAGCCCATTGTGGGTGGCGCCATCCCTGGGCTTGTGGTCCTGGACTGTGTAAGAAACTAGGCTGAGGATGTCATGAGGAACACGCCAGTAAGCAGCACTCCTCCATGGCCTCTGCATCAGTTCCTGCCTCCAGGTTCCTGCCTTATTTGAGTTCCTATCCTGACTGTCTTTGGTGATGAACTGTGATAGGGAAGCATAAGATGAATAAATTCTTTCCTCCCAAACCCTAAGGTAGTTACCAACTATAATAGAGACAAAGTTGGGGTTTTTCAGGGATCTTCTTACAGCCAGGGCACAGTGACACCAGCCAGTCAGGCTTCCTCACCTTGACTTGAGCACATACTTCCAGCACATGCTTCCAGCTTTCTCAGAGCTAGCTGCCTTGTTTTCAGCTTCTGGAGTTTGTACTGGATGCCTGTACCTCTGCAGGGTACTCTGTCATCCTTTCATTCTCCTGTACTTTATTGCACTCTGAAGATTCAGGATATTTCAGCAGCATGTCTCTCCAGAGGAATTGTGCCCTCTGAGTGTAAAAGCACATGTTTCTCTTGCTTGATGCCAAATTTAGGTGTTTTTCTGCCTTGAGAAATGTTCTGTTCCTGACAGACAGTAATGCAGCGAATAATGGAGGCAGAAGTGAATGATGGGGGTAGAAGGGGTTGAGATGTGCCAGATGGTGGGCTTTTCTCTTTTGCACTCACGTGTGGATATTTGTCTTTCAGGAGTGCAGCAAATGGGGCCGCCATATTACACTGACCCTGGAGGACCCGGGATGAATCCTGTTGGCAATACTATGGCAATGGCGTTCCAGGTCCAGCCCAGTTCATCCCATGGAGGCACAACTTACCCACCCCCTCCTTCCTACTGCAACACACCCCCACCCCCCTACGAACAGGTGGTGAAGGACAAGTAGCAAGATGCTACATGGAAGGCAAAGGGGCTGGACAGGCCCTTTTGTGTGTCCTCCCCATCTCTAAGGGCAAACTGCTCTTTGATATTTTCAAAGCAAGCCTAGTTCTCTTTCAAGTTTTTTGTGGAGGACATTTGAATCCACACTGTCTCCTCTGTTGCTTCTGTTTCTGATGTAGTCTGTGCTCTCTGAGAGAGTGTGGCAGCAGTTCCCCAGGGTTGACATTCCTAGGGAGGTCAAGGTAGACCCTTGGGAGAGAGGCTAGAGGAAAAGAAGGTATAGCCTATGTGTCAGGAGGCAGATAGAACAGTAAGGTCGAGATAAGACTCCTATGATGTAGCAGTTGGCAAAGAAGTTCCAAGTGCCACTATTTACTGTCCCAGCCCATTATCCTAATTGAAGCTGTGGAGATGTGCTAGGGAGGCCTGTTGACACTGTTCGGTCTCCACTCACCTTTTGAAAACAGGCTTTCCTCTGCAGGAACAGGAAAGACCCAGGTACATGTTGCTTTCACTGCAAGATGAGGGTCAGATCCCAGCTGGACATCTGCAGTTAACTAAAGACGATTAAAGAAGGGAAAGTCTTTAAGTTAGGGGGAATAACTCCCTACTATCTCCAAATGGAAACATCATATTTTATGAATCATGATTTGGCTTCAGATGTGCATTTGTTGTCCTTTGAGATCAGATGGAGAGTGTGAACCCTTCAGGTCACTGATCAGAGGGCTCTAACCCCCTTCTCTTAGCTGCTTCTGGTGATGGGTTTCATGGCCACTTGTGAGCAGAGGCACACATTAGGCTAGGTAGTTACAGTGACCCTTGATGTGGGAGAGAACAGCCAAAGCAGCCCAGGAAAGCAAGAACAGCATTGCTGAATAAGAACTAGGGTTGTATGTGATCCAAGCAGAGATGTGCCCAGCTCTGAAGAGGGGATGTTTGTGGATAGAAAAGTGGAAACCTGCTTAGTTGCACAGACCACATAATGAAAAGTAGAGAAGGAAAATGTAGTTAGAGATGCTGTTTCCCAGGTGAGGATCAAAACTCACCAATAGATTTATAAGTAGTGGAGGGAGTTTTTAACAGTGAGGAGTTTTGTTCCCTTGTGTAGTCAGTCATGTTAATGTGTATTTAAACCCAGATTGAAACCTTGTGTAGTAAGAGCAAGGTGGTATTGCTAAGGTGTTTAGAGTATTTATATGTAGTATGATGGGAAGTGGGGCTGCAAGTAAAGGGAATGACAATTTAAATGAACTAGTCAGAGCCTTTTGATAAATTATTACTTGTTGAATTGGGCATTCAAACATCTCTTTTGAGTGGACATGGAGTGTTCTTTACCACCTATAAGATGGGAGAGGCATGGTGTCATTCTCCGTTGGGGTATTTATATGAAACGGGTTCAGGAATCAGGACAGTAGCTTCATGGGCTTAGTTTAAGAACAGAACGCATGGGGACTTGGTAGACAATTTTATAGGAAATTCCAGGGAAGGGATGAATATATTTTAAGACAGTTTGGGGACACAGATGCTACTGCCCTAGTGATTGAGCACTCTTGTGTCTCTGGCTTCCTGCCCCTGGGCCCAGTACACCTCCCCGTGCTTGGGCCCTTGTTTTAAATAAGAAAACAAAGCACAATATCTGCTGTTTACAGTCAAGACTACATGTCCAAACATTTCCTCTCTCTGTTCCTTTTTAAAATGAAGAAGCACAGAGCTGCCCCTGGGATTGCGCCAGGAAACAGCTGAATGAATCAAGGCACTTGATGTTTGTAACTAAATCTTATCTTTTTCATAGCAAATCCTTTTGAAAAAAACTGATAGGGTTCAGCAATTTTATATTCCAATGTCTGTAAAAGATAAATTTTGCCATTGAGCCTGCATTGGAATTCCTTCAGCTGTAAACACTAGCAATGCATATCGAAATTGCACTTCTGGGGGTGTTTCCCAGCATTCTTGCTTTCTTGTGTTTGGTGAGTAATGCTCACCCCTTCCAGCAGCTCCACTTATGTATACTAAGGTCTATGGAGCAGGTGTGTGGGGACAGATCTGAAGCAGACTTGTGCATGCTTTCTTGGCAACACTTGGCTCATGTTTCTTTGTTCTCTTTTGATAGGGTCCTGTTTCCTATGTATGAAAAAAAAATAAAAGTGGATTATTTGGTCATCTGCTGTGGTTTTTTTCCCCCCTGGGGAGTAGGAAGGGGGTGGAGATGAAGTTTTTATGAGAAATTATGCACAGTAGATGATGAATTCACATGGGAGGCACAGAAGGGTAGGTAGGCACTAACTTAGCAGGAAGCTAAATGTTTTCCAGGAATATATGATCTGGTCTCATGACATCTTTTGAAAAATCAGGATAGGAAAAAGTTGCCACAAGCAAGTTGAGAAGCAGAATTGTTTACCTCACAGGGAATGCTGGTGTTCTAGCAGGCATGTGGCTCTGTTCTTCTACAGTAAGTTGGCTGGCACTTTAAAGTGCTACTCTGGAGTTGGGAGTGGTGCTAGTTGGGTGTGGTCTCCACTGTTCGGGGATCTGAGGCCAAAGGACTCCATGAATTCAGGAGTTCAAGACAGGCTAGACATTAAAGCAGCTCTCTCATCTCTCAAATGTCCTATTCTGTGTGCTTGGAAATTGTGCTGTTTGGATATGACTGATTTAGCTACCACAGTTAAGCTACATTTTGGATGAATTAGTAAATGACAAAGTTTTATATTCTTAAGATACTTGTTTTACAAGTCTGGTCCCTTCTCTGTAGACCTACGTTAAGAGTGTTTATTTTAGGGTGATTGCCAGACCATGTTATCTTAATTGAATATTCTGAGAAGCATCATACATCATAATTCTGTGTTATCTTCTACTTTACAAATTTATAAATTGTATAATCCTCTGGGGGAAATGGGGAGAGTTAGAGGTATCAGACGCCTTTTTGCTCAAGACCAAATCTAAAGATAGGCCATTCCAGGGGCAGAGCTAAGAAAAACTCTGTTTTTCCCATCTCTTTATTCTTCAGTCTGTGACTGGGCCTTTTATTAAAGTGATTTATTCAGTTCTTATTACGAAATAGCTTATCTGATGGTACATCTGCAGAATTCATAGAAGTACATGATTTTCAAAGGTTTATTTATACAATTTACATAGTCATCTAATGCACACCTTCATCTGTGCTTTCCAAATTCCAATGAGCTTCAAAATATCCATAACAGCTGTGAAAACACAAAAAATGGCAAGAAAAAAAATATGGAGTAATCTCTGAAATAAAAGAAGGCTGGTAAGATTGACTGATGAGAACATAGATGAAATCAGAAGAGAACACACCCAGGGTGGCAAAGGAAAGAAGAGCCTGCAGGAGCGTTGGTGGGCTCCAACTGGAGAAACTCCAGGAACATGGGTAGAACAGAAGCTTGCTTCTTACTAAGAGTGGTAAGATTTTTGCATGGTTCTGGGAGGTGGGCTACTCAAATTTTTGCCTGATTTTAAGAAGTGACTTTAAGCTAATAAATGTTTCTATTAAAAATCTGTGTAGCTTAGGGCTTTCACAGCTTTCCCACAGTCTCTAGACCACTGCTATACTTTGAATCTAAAATATATGTCCCCCAATGCCCATGTGTTCTGGGTCCAAACCTGGTTTGAATTATGAGGTGGTAAAAACTTAAAGATGGAGGACCTAGTTGGAGGTCGTGTGATTGTTAAGGACACATTTTTTTGTGGTAGATATTGGGACTTCCAATTCAGCTTCCAATGATGAAATTTATACTATATATACCATGGCTATGAAATGAATGGTTCTGCTCCATCACATGCCTTTCTATGATTTAGTGCCTCATCACAGGCCCAAAGCCACAACCAACCCATGATCATGAGATGAAACCTGGATGATGATGAAACCGAGGCCAAAATAAACTGGGTTTTCTTTGCTATTGTTACAGTAGTGTAAAGCTGACTAGCACAGTTGCCATCCAAACGAATGGGGAGATGCTGTGCAAAGTGGAACCTCATGGACCTGGAGAGAGTAACCCCAATCTCTTATATTTTTTGTTGTGTGCCTAGACTTTAACAGCTGAGCCATCTCTGCAGCCTATACTCTCTTCCCTTATCACTGTCCTGCAAATGTTTTTCCTGACACCAGAGAAGATAGAGTTATGCTACCTGCCTCCTCCCTCCACTCTACCCACATAATTGTGGCTCTGAATATTGTTTGTTTTTTTTGAAGGGTTTGTGTTTTGTTTGGGGGGGGGTTGGTTGGTTGGTTGGTTGGTTGGAGACAGGCTTTCTCTGGGTAGCAGCAGCACTGGCTCTCCTGGAACTCACTTTGTAGACTAGGCTGTTCTTGAACTCACAGAGATCCACCTAAAGCAGGAATCTTTATTCTGAACTTTCTGTCACTTAGAAAAAAAAAGACCCCTCTCACCAGTATTACCTGCAGCCCTCTGTCCACATGGTGGCCAATACTTGGAAAGCCCTCTGTGGTGCTCTGGGGCATGGTAGAATATGCGTGAGGCAGCTGTTGTCTTCTAGTTCCTCTCGCCACTGCCCAGTTTTTTCTCCCAGATCATAGCACACCACACAGTTTTCTCCACTATTATCTCTACCACACTGTAATGATGCTAGATCAGAGGTCTTCTTCAATGGGAGGAAGTAGAGGTACCAGGAGTTCCAGTGATCTGAGCCTACCATATTACCAAGTGGTCATGCTGGGCCAGCACCTCAAAGCAAGCAGGCAAACTCTTTCTCTGTGCATGTGCGTGTGTCTGTCTGTCTGTCTGGTCATTTACATTGACACCCCAGCTGCCACCCTCAGCAGCTCTCACCATTCTTACCATTATCCACATGTTTGGCAACACTTGGATAGCCCAGCCTTAAAGATTCCTGTGTATTTTCTTCAGTACTCCTGACTTTACTATATTTAACCCTGACACCCTTTAAAGCTTTTGAACACTTGTCATTCATTGCAATACTGTGGTTGTTCCCATTCTCTGGCTTCTTTTTATGAACATCTACACTTCAGAATAAAATATGAGAAATAAGTTGCTACATTAAAGTACTCATTTTGGGACTTTTGACATATTCAGAAATAGTGTACTTATACACAATTACATGTGGAAACCATTGAAGCCATAATAATATAACATTGTGAGAAATAACTTTGAATGAATTAAGAGAATTGTAATTATGGGGTATAATGATTTAGTCTACATGATTGCCAATGAGAGAGGTGAAGAAACCCCCCCCTTTTTTTGTTCCATTGTTACATGGATCTCTCAAAACTTACAGGCACCATCTTCTTGCAAAAGCTTGTCAAACGAAGATTGTCAAGATGAAGCTATCACAGAAAAGGTGTCATGTTTTACATCTAAAATGTTTTACGGAGGCCATATGTTATGGATGGATTCAAGGAGCAATTAGATCCTGGGGGCTCCAACCTTATCAATGGATTTCCTCTTGATGGGTTTATAATTAATGACTACTGGATGGTGGTAAAAACTATGCGTGGCAGCACCTAGTGGGAGTATCTTGTCATTCTCCCCCTCCACTCCCTGGCTGCCAGCTTTGCTCTGTAACATGCTCCTGATTATTTATGACATCTTCCTCACCGTAGGCTGATAGCAATGGGATCTGCCAACCACACACTAAAACTTCTGAAGCTAATGAACTGAAGCTAATGAACTTTTTTTCTCTTAAATTGTTTGAGTATTTTGCATAGTGATAGAAAAGTGGCTAACCTATAAGTATTAAAGAGAGAATATGAAATGTAGCATTACCTGTATAAAATACATACATATAAGACATATAGTATTAAGCACACATTATGAGTAAATAGTTCTCCAGAGTGTCCACTTCTGAACATAAGCTCCAGGCAACTCTCCTCTCGAATCACTGTCACTTCATTTCAGGTGGAAGCATCAATGTCCCAGGGTCAGCCCGAGAGCATCCACTCCTTGTTTTTGAAGACATGCAGATGCCACAAAATCTTTATTAAAGCCAACCTCAGACCCAAGCAATATCACAGTCCTCACCATATTCTTTAAGCCTTTCTGATTGTGGTGGTTTGAATGAGAATGGTCCCTATAGGCTTGAATGTTTGGCACCCAGTTGGTAGAACTGTTTGGGAAGTATTAGGTGTGGCCTTGTTAGAAGAGGTGTGTCTCTAGCAGTAGGCTTTGAAGTGTCAAAAGCCCACATTCCCAGTTAGCTCTCTTTCTTGTGTCTGGATCAGGATGTAAGTTCTCACCTACTACTTGAGTACTATGCCTGCCTGCTTGCTCTCATGCTCCCAGCCATGATGGTCATGGACTCTAAAGTCTTAGAACCATGAGCCCCAAATTAAATGTTTTCTTTTATCCTTGGCTGATCTGTCACAGCAATAGAACAGTAACTAAGACACTCATAAACAACTCAGTTAAAGCAGCACTATATACTACCTGCTATATACTATATATGCTATATACCTGATATATACTACCATTCTTAAATGCTTCCTTATTTGAGTCATAAGGAAGAACTATTTGGCTACTTGGTATATCTAATCCCTCTCTTCTTACCCCATTCTTGCCTTTTAAATAATCAGGAAAAGCCACATATTTTAACTTCTCAGTCTTCTTTATGGTAAATGAAGGTAATATGATAAATTCTGGTTATTGAAACATTGATGGAACTCTACTCTAAGGGCTTTGAGAAACATTTGTCTTTCTCATAAGTAGGACTGAAATTGTTGGTATTGCCACATGCCTATTCTCATCATTTCATCATCTCATCAGATGCTAGACTGTAACCAAGAGATAAAGACCAAGATTCATAGGACTGCCCACTTTCACACTGTTGACCTGAAACAGAAATGAGAAAATATGAAGGCTCCATAAGTCATCACCACAAAACTGTCTTTAATTGACAAAACCAAAGAACACCAAATTTTTGTGGACATTAACTTGTCATTCCAGATTTCAAAATGATATTCTGGGTGTATATACGTTAAACTTTTCAACACATTTAGAAGACAGTTGTTAACATAAAACAAGCTCAAGAAACAAAAGATGCTCCTAAATTTGATTTCAAACATTTATAACTCTTAAATGGCCATATGTGAACCCTCAGTCCTCCTTCACTCATGGCATGGGGCTGCAGCCTTTGTAGCATGGCAGCTACATGTTGAAGATTCAAAGAAGGATCCGTTGATACATAGTGATAGGTCGGAAGGCATCAACCCACCTCTCTTAAAAGGGAAATCTGTAAACAAAATGTTCTCCATTTATTCTTTGGGTGTTTTATTTTTTCCTCAGCATGTTCATCAGAAAGATACTATTATATGTCAAACATGTATGAGTAAACATACTGGAGAGACACACCCTGCTACTGCTGCTCTGAAGGCCCTTGGCCAATAGCGGGGCCCTACAAACTCCACCATTTTGCAGAAAATGGCTTATAAGACAGCCCCAGAAGCTTCTTTCAAGAAAGTAAACAAGCAAGATCTCAAAGATAAGCTCTGCTGTATTATTTTTTACGATACGGGTAAGAGGATGAAAAAGATATTGTTTGAATGAGACTAGACAATACATGGGGTATTCTGCAGAACAGTTTCCCCTAGCCTATTTGTGATGGTTTGCCCTGCCTTCAAGTAGTGGGTATTGGACAGCCCTGAGAAGCCCATTATCCAGTTCAGGAGGTGAGTTAAAGATGATCTTGAGAATTATACACACAGTAGTAATCAGCCCAAGGCGAAAGAGAAGGGTCATGACATATAACCAAGAGTAACTGCAATGAAGAGACCTAGGAGGCATCATCTGGAAACTGAAGGCCAGTTGTTTCGGGTACCAGCCCCATAAGCAAGGTTCCACACTCAAAATGGTACAGGCATGAAGAAGCCTTCTCTTTGAGACTGTCACCACTGTTCCAACTTTATAAAAGAAGTAGAAACTAGGGCTAACACTTAAGAAGTACTGAAGTCCAGACTATTATACAATCCTGCTTTCATTTATAACATGTTACCTCCAAAACAAAACATGCTTAGGAAATCTAGCCCACTTGTGCCACAAACAACAACCAAACTCTGAAATTTATGTAACAGCATTACAGTATGTGAATCAAACTTAATGCCCTTAAAATAATTTTAAAATTTATTATATCCTTATATGTATAAATTCAGCCTAGAATCTATCACCCCAAGCTGGATGAAAAATAAGTAATGTATTAATTTAAAATTCATATTTTTAACAATTTGCCAAAATGTGAATTAAACTTTTAAAGGGATATGGATGGATCCACTTGGCATTGTAACTACTCTGCTTTATATAGTAATAAGCTATTCCAGTAGCAGTAAGATAGAGTCTGTTTTCATAATATGTATCTGGGTAAACGTCTGAAATTTCCTAACATTTAGTCATTATTTGTATTGACCACAAGATACAAAGAGGGAAGCAGTATCAACTATGTCTTCCTGAGCTCTGAAATGCATGCTGACTTGCCCATTTTTCTTCTGGTTTGGGAAGCTTTTTGGAAAAGTGCCCATGGAAAAATGCTAACACAGTATTCTCACAAGATATCTACATTTGCTAGCTGATGTTTAAGACAGACATCACACAGCTGCTTCTTTGTTGATAGAGATGACACCTATTTTATATATACTATATACAAAATGTGTGGCTGGCGCCTTAAACACTCACACATGCTCAGCAAAGAGTTTGTATGACGAGTGTGGCTTTTCTAGTTAATCAATTTACACCTATAGACAAGCACCAAGAAACATGCACACTACGAGGAGCCTAGAGATGAAGAATTCATATTTCACACCCTTAAGGGAAACACTGTCAAAGAATGCTAATGACATGGTTTCTATCACTCATGCTCTAACTTGGGGGTCTTTGCAACAAAAGGGGCTAGTGAAGGTTTCTGCCCTTCTTTCTTCCTCTTTTGGGATTTACAGTAGGTTATCTATCAGGCACTAATCAGTCAGGTGGCTTTTGGTCCAACGGGTATGTTAGTTGTCTTTTTGCACCTTTTTAAGCCTTCTGCAAAAAGCCAAGTTCAAATGCTGGAAACCGTGACATCTCTGGTACCAAGATGTCAGAGAGAAAGTGAACAGCACCAGCCATACCTGCAAAGCAAAATGTGCATCATTTAGAAACGCACAGGTTAGGAGATAAAACAAAGTGACATTTAATCCCTTTCTCTGCTAGGGACTGTAATAAGGAAAAATACCATCATCAATTAAAAGTGACATTGTTAAAAACAATGCCCAACAGAAAAGTATACTATTTTTTTCTTTACTATTGAGCGAGCATGTATATGCCTCTGTGTGTGTGTGTGTGTGTGTGTGTGTGTGTGTGTGTGTGTGTGTGTGTATGTGTATGTATGTAAATTCAGGTATATGCATGCCACAGTTTGAGTACAGACGTCAGCAGACCACTACAAGTATCAGTCCTTGCCTTTCTCTTTGTTTGAGACCGGGTCTCCATTGTTTTCTATTGCATACATACAATACAGCTGATTAGCAACTTTTTGAGGTTCCTCCTGTCTCACCTCCCAATTCCTCTTTAAAATGCTGAGATTATACACTTGAGCTATACATCTACACATCTGGGTTCTGGGAATTCAAATTCAGATTCTCTTGTATGATGAGCAAATTTACCTACTGAGGTATCTCCTCAACTCTATACTTTTGGATTCTTTCTTTTCTTGCATTTGAAATGTTAAGATGATACTGCAGTATCTATGGATGTAAATCTCATCTCGGCTCAGTGTCACAGTGCTTATCTAACTGGTGTGAGGGCTTGAGTACCATGTTGTTGGTGATAAAAATAGTGTTGGGCTAAATAATATCATTTAGTAGCCCTATAATTGTTACAGTGGTATTATTCAACCTGCTATCTTTATCAATAAGACATAGATACCTGTTATATTTTATAATTGCCTTATAACACCTTGGACTGGGCAGATAATTCCACCTACACTATTTCAATAACCTCCCAGCCCAAATCCTACACCATCTGTCTTAACCATTTCTATCTGGGCTACCTTCCATCCTAATCTTATAAATAGGTGCTTATATTTTTTATCTTGCTATTTCTTTTCATGCCATTCCTGGAGTCCTTTCTCCTGGCCCATGTGTTTGTTTGTTTGTTTGTTTTCACAGTAATACATCGTGATGTCCTCCTTTCTCTTCTCTTCCTGTCCCTCTGTTTCCTGTGATTCTCTGGAAACCAAAGCCTGGGAACTTTAGCCACGCCTATCCCATTCTTCCCAGCCCAAGTTTTGGGCCTTTTAACCAACCCATCAAAAATAATGTCTTAGGCAGGTTTACATAACAAGGATATGTGTATCCAGGAAGTACCCAGATCTTGAGGGCCAGTAATTAGCATCAAAATACAAGCATCACACCAACCCCCAACAGTACCATAATCAGCATATATGATTAAATAAGCAACTAAAAGCCTCTGGGGAATTTAATAAGAACAGTGCCAACTGTATGTCAATAAATGAAACTTTCCTTTCAAGAGCTTTTATAGTCTTCATCCAATTTTATATCTTCTTTACCTTCTAAGAAAGTAATTTTCAAATAAGTGTAATTTTTTGTGTCACCCCTTCCCCAAAGTAGGGCACTGATTAAAAAGCAGTTTTTTTTTAAACTGACTGACAAGAAAACCGTATGGGTGATAGCTTCTTGTCCTCCTGTGTCTCCCCCTCACAGCTTCAGTTTGCCTAGTTTTCTTCTGCCACAAAATTCACACACAAATACACAAATCCTAAGTGTTCTTTTTTGAATTTTGACAACTATACAACATGTATAAAACAAACTTTATCACACTCTGGAACTATAACCCCAGAGTGGTTCCATGTGTCCTTGCCTCTACTCCATCATTAGGATAACTGCCATAGATGAGTTTTGTCTCTTTCAGAACTTGACCAGGATGGAACCCTTACACAGCCACAGGGGTCTGGGTTCTTCTCTTAGTTACGTTCCTGCAGTTAGTCATCTGCCCTTCTTGCTGAGTACTGTGTAGGAAGCTGTTTCTTTATTTTGCTACTGAAGAAAATTTGAGTTAGTCCAAGCTTTCCCTACAAGTTTTTATTTGATGAAAGGGTTGCAGAAACTTATTTTAAAGAATTAAAAAAAAAAATCATGAACCTATTAGAACTCATTAGAAACAGAAAGTGACCCTTATTGCCTTTGAGAGGACCCTAGAGAAGCCTTAGAAGAGCCCATTCTGGGTTTCATAGGCAGGTGCCTATCCCATAGAATGCTGCCTTTGGCAGAGGGATGCTCCAGGAGGACACAGGTAAAGCCCAGTCCTCCCTTTCAGTAGGAGCTCTGTTGAACTCCTACATTAGCATTTGGTTAGAAGTTATTGCCACTTCTATCTGCTATGCATTGGTGAGGCAAAGGGCAAACATGACCTGCTGACTTCTAGCCATAGGGAGCCATTAGGTTCAAAAGTGGAATTTTGACCCAATGGGTATTTAAACTTGCTATTTTAAACTTGAATGTATAAAGCCTCTGTGGCCTCCACTTTAGAGGTTAGATGTTAACTCCTGTTATCTGATATAAATTCATCTCATATTTATTATTTTCTGCATCAGGGCCTCAATACAGAGTCCAGGGCAGATTCATATTCATATTCTAATGCTTTAGCCAACAGGGTGATGAGATCACAGGCAAGGACCACCATGTCTGCCACATTTGAGGGGGGAGGAATGGATGGAATTTACTTTTTAAATTTAAATTTCTTTTTTATAATTTATTCACTTTATATCCTAATTGTGGCCCCCTCCCTGACTTCCTCCTGGTCCACCCTCGCCTCCTTCCTTCCCCCTCCCCCTTCCCTAGTCCTCAGAAAGGGGAAGGTCCTCCTCTCCTACCATCTGATCCCAGCCTTTTAAGTGTCATTAGGACTGCCTGCATCCTCTTCCTTTGTGGTCTGGCAAGACCACCTGACCAGGAGGAAGCAATCAAAGAGCAGGCACCAGAGTCCATGTCCAAGACAGCACCTGCTCCCTGGACCCACATGAAAACTGAGTCGCCTATCCTGCCACATAGTTTTATAACATGAACAACTAAAGGTTTTATGCTGAGAAATAATTTTTCCTTATGACTTCAACTGATACAGACAAGGCACTGATAAAAATCTCCTGCCTATCTACCTGATATGAAATGAATCAATTATTTATTGCTTCTGAAGTTTATTTTGGGACATAGTTAAAAACGTGATGATAAAGTTATTATCAATTCATCCTAACAATATGAAGCTTTTGCACTGTGGTTATAAGTTAGCAAATGTGCACACGCACAAACACACACAACAGACACACACAAAATATCTGAGAGTCCAAGTGTGCTGGTGCATGTTTTTAATTTCAGTACACAGGAGGCAGAGGCAGGCAGATCTCTGTGAGTTTGAGGCCAGCCTAATCTACATAGCAAGGTGTGGGACAGCCAGGATTATATAAAGGGACCATATCTCTAAAAATCAAATAAATAAAAAACAAGAACAATCTCTCTTCTCTCTCTCTTTTTCTCTCTCTGTCTCTTTCTCTCTAGGACTTCAATTACAATTATAACAGTATATTAATAATATTATATCCTTATATATTATATTTATTAACCTGGGCAGACTTAACTATAGTTGATTTTACCAACGGCCTTGTATTGGCATCAGTAAAAGTACTGAACTGTTTTCAAAATTCACTCTTATTTTTCTAATTATTAACATACAATTACTACTTTCCATTAATGTTAGTTGCTAGTAATTCTTTATATAATTTAAAGAATTAAGTATATTTAAATAACTACTTAAGTCTCCTATGAACTGTATATTACACACATAACATATATAATATATATAACATTACAGAGGAAGTACCAGAAGAGTAAACTTAACATCTCTCCCCATCCACTAAGCCTTACAGGCTTTGTCTGCATATATATTTCATGGAAGTTCTAAAATTTTTGGTGACACTTGCAGGAGCAAAATATACCAAGATAAAAAAAGGCTTGCTATCATTTTATTATAGTTCTGAAGTTTTCCTCAAGCAACCTCAAATGTACTAGTCCTCAGAACAGTGGAACCAATTTCACTATCCCAAATACTTAAATGTACAGTTTTATTTTATTTTTTATACTCCTACCTTCAAAGAGAGAATAGGGTCTGTCAGGAATACGGCACCCATGTGCTCCATAATCTAAACACCACTCTGCAAACTGAAAAGAAAGACATATATTTTTAAGGATAGAATTTAAGAGGCAATGAATAGGATACTTTAATGAATTTGTAAGAATTGAAGAAGGGTCTTCCTAGCTTCTTTAGGAGTATAGATTTTAGTATATTTAATATCCTATATTACATGTCTAATAAGCACTTATGAGTGAGTATATACCATGTATGTCTTTTTGTTTCCGGGTTACCACACTCAAGATGATCTTTTCTAGTTCCCATCATTTGCTCGCAAAATTCATGATTTTCTTGTTTTTAATAGCTGAGTAGTATTCCATTGTGTAAATGTACTACAATTTAAGTATCCATTCCTCCATTGAGGGACATCTAGGTTGTTTCCAGCTTCTGGCTATTACGAATAGAGCTGCTACGAACATGGTTGCGCAAAAGTCCTTGTTGTATACTTGAACATCTTTTGGATATATGCCTAGGAGTGGTATAGTGGGATCTTGAGCACTATTCCTAATTTTCTGAGAAAGCCAGATTGATTTCCAAAGTGGTTGTACAAGTTTACATTCCCACCAGCAGTGGAGGAGGTTCCCCTTTCTCCACATCTTCTCCAGCATGTGTTGTCACTTGAGTTTTTGACCCCACTGAGGGGTCGTTTTGATTTGCATCTCCTTGATAACTAAGGATGCTGAACATTTCTTTAAGTGTTTCTCTGCCATTCTATATTTCTCTATTGAGAATTCTGTTTTTAGCTCTGTCTCCCATTTTTAATTGGATTATTTGATTTGCTGGTGTTTAACTTCTTAAGTTCTTTACATACTCTGGATATTAGCCCTCTGTCAGATATAAGGTTGGTGAAGATCCTTTCCCAATCTGTAGGCTATTGTTTTGTTCTAACGACAGTGTCCTTTGCTTTACAGAAGCTTTTCAGTTTCATGAGGTCCCATTTATTGATTGTTGCTCTTAGAGCCTGTGCTGTTGGTGTTCTGTTCAGGAAGTTGCCTCCTGCTACCATAAAACTCTGTAGGGACACCTGGTGAAGAAATACACAATAACTCAACAGAAGCTTGTTACTTCCAAGCACCTGCTCCATCTGAATAAAAATCCCTGTCTCTGAACTCGCCCTCACACTTGGGCACTGTCTCCCCCTGGCCTAGGTTACTTAATGGAGAACATCTTCAGCATGCTTCTTTGCCTTGGTGTTCCCACCGCTACAGTCTTACAAGCTGTTGCTGGAACAATTCTCCATTATGGAAATACCCCAGACCTTAGGTCTCTACTCTATGGGTTTTATATCCTAAGTAAGCGAATGGCTTCTGTTTTGCATCACAGACATTGCCTTGGTATGTGACTCATCACTTCTCTGCTAATAATTCAAAAACATCAATGTTGAAGAACTCAAGTTCTTCCTGATTCTTCCCCACCAGATACACTGTGATTTTTCTAAAGAGTCTTAACATGGACCCTCCATTTTCCACATCGGTGTTCGGTCTGGCTGATTATTAAAATTCATCTTTAGGTCCTGAAAATCACTCATAAGATGGGTTCTTTATTAATATGGTCGAGAGTGGGTCACAATGGTTCTCAGGTGTAATCAAGGTTGAGAAGTGCTCTGTACATGTCAGAATTCAAGTCTTAACACCTCCTCCTATAGCATCCCACAGAACTGAAGTACTCCCTCTCCAAGATACACTAAGATATTTCCTGACTCTGCACCTTAGTATCCACTGGCAGCCCTAAAAACCCTGAAGAATGTAACAGTTAAACTTAACACTGAAATGGCAGAATTGTTATGAAAATTCCAGGGGGAAGTACATTTTTGGTGAAGGAAATAGATAACAGTTTAGACTCCATTCCATTGAGAGGGAAGAGCATTGCTGTGTAGCATGGTATGTCTGAAAGTGGTATAAGGTGAGATGAGGAGGTAGAGAAACAGGCAAGGGGTCAAGGCATGCAGCACTACAGAAACTTGGAGAAAGGAGGGTAGGTTTGACACGCAGTTTAACTAGGAACAACTGTAAACAGTCTGAATGTTGTATCAATTAATTCTTGAAACATCCTTGGTGGATGGTCATTTTCTTCCCATTTTTTCAAATAAAGAAATGGAGGCTTGAAAAATAAATCTACTTTATGATAATAATAATTTTATATAAACCAGATGCAATGTCAAAGATCTGTTACCCTAGAACTTGGAAGGTGTAGCAGGAAGATCAGAATAGTCATCCTCCTCAATAGCAAAACCAAGGCCCATCTGTGTAAGCTCAAACATTTTCTCAAACAAAGAAAAAATGTTTATACAAAACGCTGTAATTATGACCGGGTAGTATGATTCCAGAACTTGTACTCTCTGGAGTAACCTCTATGTTTGGTACCTTCATCTCATAGACAGACACAAAGGGCCGAAGCTATGCCAGAAGAAACAAATAAAACTACTGGGAAGCAGAGGTTCAAAGAAGGAAGAGGAGTTGTGCTTATGGGCTCTGTTCTGGGAAGTGTAGAGCTTGGTGGATAGAATTGTCCTTACCTTACAAGCTCGATAGAGGTACTTCTTATCTTGGGTCAGGTGGTAAAGGGACAAAAAGGAATAACCATTTCCAGATGTTCCATGGCAGATTCCGTAGCCTTTCCGGAGCAGACCTCGCTGCCAAATAACATCACTGCACTCCATGGCCTCTTTCAAGTATTTTTCCTCCTTAAATACCTGGAGAGTATGAAAGCAAAACGGTGTCAGCAAAATGTTTTGAACAAGAGTCAGAAAAATCCTTTCCCACTGATTAGAAAAACATACAACATTATGAAAACTGATATGACATCAGGGTTAAACAAACACAAGAACCTCTGCAATAGGCAGATCCTGAACATCATTTTCCTTTAGAGTCTATCCCAGTGAGTCTCCCCTCCACACAGGCTGCTAACTGCCACATCTAGCCATGGTCCTACACCCATTGTCCAGGCCTACTCTGGCCACTTGTGCCTGTGTGGCAACAATCTCGAAGCTGCTGCCAGGACCTACTCTGCCTGCCCCCGAACTTACAGGCCCCTAGCATAATGCATAATGCATAGAACTTTGCCACCCAGCCAGATCTACACTACACTCTAGGCTTGGGCCAGGACACACATCCTGCACACTAGCCCAGTCTACCCTGTTCACCTGACTTCATTCTGAGTTATTTCCAACTTCAGGCCCGAACCCACTCCCGCATTCTCTCTGTACTCCTACTTGCCCTGTCCATACCAGACACAGAACTAACAAAAGAGGCCCAAAACCCAGATCTTGTTGCAAAAATCCAAACAATACGAAAGGTCATACCAGTATCTTCTCTCCAAAACCTACCAGTCCTGTAGTTATGTTTACCAAAGAAAACTACCTAAAAAAAAAGAAAAGAAAACTACCTAGTTGAACCACAGGACACAGAATTTAAAGAAACAATCATAGATTTCTTTTTTTGAAAACGTAAAGGAGCTATGTAAGAAGTGGGAAACAGCAAGAGCTGGAGAGGACAGGAACTCCACAAGGAGAGCAACAGAACAAGAAAATTTGAACACAGGGAACTTCCCAGAGACTCATACTCCAACCAAGGACTATTCATGGAGATAACCTAGAACCCCTGCACAGATGTAGCCCATGGCAGTTCAGTTTCCAAGTGGGTTACATAGTAATGGGAAGAGGGACTGTCTCTGACATAATCTGATTGGCCTGCTCTTTGATCACCTCCCCCTGAGGGGGGAGCAGCCTTACCAGGCCACAGAAGATGACAATGCAGCCACTTCTGATGAGAACTGATAGTCTAAGATCAGAAAGAAGGAGAGGAAGACCTCCCCTATCAGTGGACTTGGGGAGGGGCATGCATGCAGAAAGGGGAGGAAGTGTGGGATCGGGAAGGGAGGAGGGAGGGGCTTATGGGGGGTACAAAATGAATAAAGTATAATTAATAATAATAATAAAAATATTAAAAAAAGACACAAGAATAAAAACAAAATACTTGCAATAAAGACACACATCAAAAAGATTACCCATCATGAGCAAATTGGCTTTATCCTTGAAATCCAAGATGATTCAGCATATACAAGTCAGTAAATATAATAGACAACATAAATTGACTTAAACCATAAAAATCACATTATCATCTCAATAGATATAGGAAAGACTTCTGACAAAATTCAGCATGATTCCATGATAAAACTCCTAGATAACACAGGACTATCGGGAATATACCTCAATATAATAAAAGCTATATATGAGAAACTCACAGCCACCATCATCCTAAATGGAGAAAAGCTTGAGGCAATACCACTGACATCAGAAACAAGACAGGGATGTCTACCATCCCCATTCATTTTCAATACTGTGCTCCATACACTAGCTGGAACACATAAGAGTGAAATTAAAGGGATACAAATACAAAAACAAGTCAAAATATTCCTACTTGACAGGATATATACATTAGAGATTTCAAATTTCTTAAGAGAAAATTCCAAAAACAAACAAATTCAGCAATATGACAGGATTCAGAATCAACTTGCATATATCAATGGAATAAATTCTCTATAACCACAGAAATAATCAATGGGTAATATAAAATGTACTACATTGCTAAGAGAAGAGTGAACATATCAAAATCAATCACTGGTGAGTGTAAAGATGGATAAACAAAAAGTATCCAATATGAATTACAGAAAAGAAGAAGAAATTTGAAATAAAAATCCCAGAGACTTATAGTGTAAATAATGACTAAACATTTACAAAGTATGGTGAAGGATGTAAATTTATGAATTCACCAAGTTGAAGAGGACTACCAATTCAACCCTTCCTGGCAGATAAGGTACCATAGACTTGTGCTGCTAACTCCACCTATTCCTACAGTTTGTCATCTTGAAACCCCTCTCTAGGTAAGGACCCTAGGGACTCGACATCAACTTCTCCTGCTATCTGCATCACGCCTGAGGGCCTGGTGTCGTATACAAAGCCTCCACTCTCCAGGTACCCTCAAATCCTACATGGGCTCCCTGGGAACCACTTGCCCTACAGCTTCCCTCTGGCCCCTTCTCAGGGCTCCCTCTCCACATATGGACCCAAGACTCCTACTGCCAACTTCATGCTCCACTGCTCTCTGTGAAGTCCTGAGCAACTCCCACAGACTACTAAAGATTTCTACCTAAAGTTAAAAGATTTTCAACTAGAAGGTCTACTACTGGGCTTAGAAAGTTCAGCTAACCTGAACTAATAAGCTCAGACTACTTCTGATACCCAATTTGAGCATCAGCACCAAACTGTTTCCAGACTGAACCTAAACTTCATTCAGCTAAAGACAATCCAGCAAGTTGGGGGTCATTGGAAATGGAAATCCAAACAGAGTCAACAAAGGAGAGACACAATTTCCATGCTAAAAAAACATTTTCAACAGCCTAACTCTGGGTGTCTAGGTCCCATTTCAATACCACAAGCCACATGAAAAGCCAAAAGAATATATCATCACAAAAAAGTAGTACTTTCATAGTCATAGCCCCTAAAGAAAGCAACTCAGATGATATACAAAACAATGACTTAAAAACAGCAACAATGCACATGAACAAGGGACTCAAAGGAAGTATGAAAAAATACCAGAATAAAGACTGTGAAACAGTAAGAGGAGCAGTGAAAACAATGTAAGATATGAAAATATAACAAAGAGAATCTCTGAAGAAAACCTAAAATTAATAACTCAGAGGACAGCCCCTTCCATAGATTGGATCAAGTTGAAGACAGAATATCAGGTTTTGAAGGCAAAGTGGAGGAATTGGACCTCTGAGTTAAAGAAAATCCTAAATCCAATAGAAAAAAAGAAACAAAAAAAGCACAAAAACAAAAAATTTAACATAACATGAAGGAACTGAAACACTATTAAAACAAACAAACAACCAAAATGAACCTGCACATAATAAGTACAGAAGAAAGAGAAGAAATCCAGGCCAAAGGCATAGAAAATACTTTCCACAAAATTATACAGGAAAGCTTGCTCTTTTAATTAGGGTTTTATTGCTGTGAAGAAACAGCATGACCACAGCAACTCTTATAATGGAGAACATTTAGGGGTTGGCTTACAGTTTCAGAGGTTTAGTCTATTATTAATATGGCAGAAAGCATGGCAGTGTGCAGGCAGACATGATGCTGGAGGAGCTGAGAGTTCTCCACCTTGATCCACAGGCAGCAGCAGGAGACTGCAGGACTGGGCATAGCTTGAACATATATAATGCCTGCCTCCATAGTGACATACTTCCTCCAAGACCACACTCACGCCAACAAGGCCACACCTCCTAATAATGCCACTCCCTATGGCCAAGCATTCAAACACTTGAGTCTTTGGGGGCCAAACCTATTCAAACCACCACACTTCCCTAATCCAAAGAAAGAGATGATCATCAAGGTCAAAGAAGCATATGAAACACCAAAGAGACAGAACCAGAGAAGAAACTCCTCATGTCAAAACACTAAATTTAAAGAATAATGGATACTGAAAGCTGCAATAAAGATCAAGTTACATAAAACGACTGCCCTATCAAAATATCAGCTAATTTTTAAATGCCTTTTTTAAGAAGTGTTTTTGAGAATTTCATATGTGTGTGCAGTATTTACATCATTTCTCCCTCTTCTCACTCCTTCCATGTACCTCCCCATGCCTTCTCAAATTCATAGACTCTAAATAATTATTGTTTTACACACAAACACACACACATGTAATCTGTTCAGATCATTTAGTATTGCTCATAGATACGTATTTAGGGATGACTGCTTTGGACTGGATCCAAACTGAAATTTCCTCATTCAGGGCCTTGTGAGATTTCCTCATTTATGTTAGGAATGGTGAAATCTTTGTGACTTTGAACTAGAAAAGGGGTTGAATTCTGTTAGCAAGGCTTAACAGGCCATCCTACCAGAAGACTGAAAGGCTGTGAATTGTAGGCTCAAGCGGTCCCAAGAAGAAAGCAAGAACGTTAACAGCAACTGGGCTTGATGCATACTAGTACATCTCTTATTACCTGTCTGTCTGTTTATCTATCATCTAATCCATCCGTCTATAATCTATCATCCGTGTATCTATTATGTATATATATATATACATATATATGTATATATACATATATATGTATATATATATATAATAGGTACCTAGTATACATATGCATACATTATGCCTATATATACATCCCTATTCATCTATATGTATACATTAGGAAATGTGTATATATTTGTTTCCTACTTAGCTGGCCATTCATATGGCATTTTGGTAAAGAAGCTGCCTGTTTTCTGCCCTTATCTTAAAAACTTACCTGTGGCTGAATCTCTAAGTAATAGACAATTTGTGTCAGAGTCAATTGAAGACAGCATAATATTGACTCTGTGATATGATCATTATTAATAATCTGTTATGCAGCTGTACAGTGAACAAGAGTAAGTAGAGCAAAAAGAAATACAAATACATATGGTGGCATATGTTTGTAATCCCAGCACTCAAAGAGGCCTTGTCTACAAAGCAAGTCCAAGTCAGCCAAGGCTACAGAGAGAAACTCTATCTTGAAAAACAAAGAAAGAAACAGCACTAAATGTCAATGCAACACAGGGCAGGGAGTCTCTTTGTTAAGGCCTTGAGAGGGGAAGAGTCCATGAGACATATACTAGACTATCTATACACTAGTATAGAATTCTATCTATCTATCTATCTATCTATCTATCTATCTATCTATCTATCTATCTATCTATCTATC